TCCAACAGCTGAAAATGTGGTTATAGCATGCGGCATAGAGGGAAGTGAGGGGAAGAATGGAACTTGTCAACCTAGGAAGATAGCCCATCTAGAAAGAAAACTCTGATCCTAAACCTGCCTTGCACGATATCTTTGGAAGAAAAGGCTCATGAGTAAACCCTACACAAATCCAGAGTGAAGTCCCCAAGGCCGTTGGATGGCATCTTGTACGCCTCCTCCCAGCAACTCCTGCAGCCAAGCTGGTGCCAAATGCATTGTTTTGCTTTCCTTTGGACCATATCAGTGAGGCAGAGAAAGGGTCGTCATCTGGGCAGCCCAGGACCTCCATGCACCCTGCCCAGGCTTCAGTGCTGACAACACAGCAGTTTTTGACTTCACCCCCAGAGGTGCACTCCATTGTCTCTTGAAATGGATGGATGCCAGCGACAACATTTATATACCACCTTTTCCTTAAGTGAACTCAAGAGCAGTTGGGACGTATTACCGTATTTTTTGCTCTATAAGATGCACCAGACCATAAGACGCACCTAATTTTTGGAGGAGGAAAACAAGAAAAAGATATTTTGAATCCCAGAAGCCAGAACAGCAAGAGGGATTGCTGCGCAGCAAAAGCAGTGATCCCTCTTGCTGTTCATGCTTCTGGGATAGCTGCGCAGCCTGAATTCACTCCATAAGATGCACACACATTTCCCCTTACTTTTTAGGAGGGGAAAAGTGCGTCTTATAGAGCGAAAAATACGGTATTTTGCTGCCAAATCCCACCCCAGAGAGCAGGGAAAGCTACATTCTAGTGAAAGTGGCTTCCTTATTTACTCAAAATGAGTATCCCATGCTGTCTTCAGAATGGCATGTAGCTTCTCTCTCTGTGTGTGTGTAACAATAAAATCAAGGTGGCTGTATAGGAAACAGAACCCCATGTTCACCCCAAACCTGGAGCCATTTCCCCACTAAATACATTCACAAGAGACCATTACATTTTAATGTTATTTGTTATGTCCAGCAAAGGATCTGATATGGGTACATTCTTTGATTCCGAGAGGAAATCTCTTGGAAGGAATGACAGGAATTTAATAATATTAAAAATACAGAGTCAGTGCAAAATATTAATATTAATAATAATAATAATAATACGCCAGCGATGAAAGGGTCAAGAAGCCCCTCTCCCTCCTTCGCACAAGGATTCTGCTTCACACTGCAGCCCCTTTGGCTGCCTGCGGGGGGGGGGGGCGGCAAAAACCAGGGGCTGATGGGAAACCAGGACTTGGGCCTCGCCGAAGTGGTCAAGCGGCGACTGGGCCGCGGCACCCCGAGCTCCACGCAGCCAATCCCTGCCCCGCTCCACCAAGCAGCGCCTACACGCGGGACGCGCAGGGATGGAGCGCAGGCGCCTCCCGCCTTCTCTCCGGCACGCAGGGGAGGGCCGTTCCGCCGAGGGAGCCCCTCCTTAGCGAGCCCCCCCAGCCACCTGAAACGTGAAGAAGTGGTACATCCCAGGCCGGGCGCGAGAGCTTGCCCAATCCCGGACTGGCCCACTCAGAAGGGAGCGCCAAGGATGCGCTCAAGGGCGCGCGAAGCCCTCCTCCGGGACCGTGGCGAGGGTGGTCGAGAAACCGCGCCTCAACACGTGCCCCTCTCGTTTGCGCGCGGCTCTGAGACCCGAGTCATTGGGCTCACACGTTTTTCTTATGCGTTATGCGTGTGGAAGCCTCGTCCGCTGCGGAAAGCGGGGAAAGAGCCCTGCGACTCCGCGGCCATCGCCTTCCCCGCCGCGCGCCCTCGCCCTCCCTGCTCCCTTATTCGCTGGGCAGCCGCGCTCGCTCGCGCTCTCGTCTCCATTGTGAAGCGCGCTCGGGGCTGTCCGTGTGTGTGCGCGCGCGCGCGAACGCGCATGAGTACGAGCGTTCTGTCCCCGCCCCTTTCCCCTCCTCTCCTCTCTCAATCAGTGCAGCTGTCGCTGTGCGGGCGGGCATCGGAGGGGGCGGGCAGGCCGGCTGGCTGGCTGGCTGCGGATTCCTGCCGTCCACTCCCTTGAACCCTCCTCCTCCTCGCTAAACGCCACCCGCCGCCATCCATTGCTAGCCTCCTCCTTTGCCGCGGAGCCGCTGCCTGCTGCTCGGATCTCCTCTTTTCTCAGCCTGCCCCCTCCCTCCCTCCCTCCCCCCTCCTTCTCTCTGCCAGCTCCAGCCAGAGAGGCTGCTGCTTCTTCTCGCTGCCTCTTGCTGCATCATCACCATCACCACCATCATCATCGCCACCCACCCACCCACCTCCTCCTCCTCCTCCTCCTCCTCCTGCACTTCGCCGCCGCCGCCGCCACTGCTGAGAGAGAGGGAGCGCGCCGCATTGCATACAAGGGCGAAGGAGATCGGACACCCCTCGGCCCCCCACCAGCACCACCACCCTCGCCAGGAGAGGTAGGCGATTTCGTTCCAGCTTTGCTAAACCGAGCGAGAGGGTTATGCGTAGATTTGGGGGTGGGGTGCGGGGGTTGCCTTCCCCTTGTGGATCGGGGCACCGGGGATCGCAGAGACGTTGGCACTCGGTCGCCGATCTCTGTCTGGGTGGCTGGTGGCGCTGCGTGGAAAGGGGCCGCGGTGGCGCTGCAGCGTCTGCGGGTGATGGGGGAGCCCTTTCCGCAGGGACGAGATCGCCCTCCCTCGAGGGTCACGGTGCCCGGCGGGCGAGGAGGAGATGCCTCTCTCCTGCGAATAAACGCTTTCAGCATCGCTGCAGTAGCAGCATCGCGACGAGGGCTAACTTAGCCCCCCTCGCTTGCTGTCTCGCCCCGTTTCCCCGGGACGATCGGTGGGAACCGGGGTCTGGCATTGCCCGTAAGAGGTTGATCCAGGTCCGGGCGAGGCGGGTGACACCAAGCCGGAGACGGCGCAATAAAAGGAGACGCGGCGGCGCAGCATCCCCGGCGAGCGACCTGGGCGGCTTGCTGGTTCGCGTAACGGTCCGTGGGTTGCAAAACAGGCGTGGTCGGTTGCTCCCTGGTCTGCCTCATTGTCTCCCTCCTCCTCTTTGCACCCAGTGGCTTGGAAGAGAGGGACTGGGGGTCAGGCAAGCGTCCTCTCTCTCTCCCCCCTTTCATACTTCAACAGGTTTGTGCAAATGGCTCCATTTGGGGGAACAGAGGTGGAAAGCGGATTGGGAGGGGCTTATTCTCCCTGATCATAATATACATTTAAAAAGTCGCTTTCCCCCATTGATTTACCTATCGATATTAGATGTGAGGACACCCCCCCACCTCCACCTGTCCCCCACCCCCGCCCTCACCTGCCTCCATTGCGATTTCTCCCTTGGGGAGGTCTTTATTATTTTCGGAAGCGTGAGTGTGCGTGCGTCAAAGGTTGGGGGAAAAGAATCTGGATCAGACGTGTGTCTTAAATTATTTCACTTCTCCACCGAACCCCCCCCCCAAAAAAAATTCTCTTTTTTGATGCCTGGGCAGAAATGCAGCAAAACGCATCTGAATCCCTCCCTCCTTCTCTGGGACACATTTTGCATGAAGATCTCTCCCTCCCTTGGGCATTACCACAGCCCCACCCTGCAGAAAACCAGGTCCAGTTTTCCCTCCCCCTTTCCCTTAATGCCAGAGGGACAGGATCGCTACTGCTTTGTCACTGGAAACCTTTCCCACCCATCCTCTCCGCCAGCCCCCACCCCACCCCACAACCCCAGCTGTCATATTATGCAGATATCTCTATAGGAACTGTTGGCATTTCCACTTCTTCCACCAGCAGCAGCAGCCCCATTCCCCGCCCCACGGTCTCTTGCAATGAAGAGGGGAGTAATGTGATTGCAGCCCTGCAGATCTAATGCGGTCAGATGGGAGTCCAGCCTGCAGCTGTGGAAGATTAATCTGATACTACAAAAAGTAGCGCCATAAGGGAGGGGTTGCATTAGGGGGAGAGTGTTGTGCATGGCGAGAGGCGATGGCTGGGCATTTCCCTTCGCATCCGGACTGTTCTGCAGGCCGCTGGAAGGAGCCCAAGGCGGAGAAGTCAATCCGAGCTGGGTGTTGTGGTTGAAAGTGCCCTTCCATATTGGAAAGGATAGCAGGTTCCACTTAACCGCTCCTTTTGCTCTGGAGAAACGGTCGTTTCGCCCGTTGCCCTTTCACATGAAACTCCGGGTGACATCACACACAAAAATTATCGAAATTAAAATGGTGCAACTGATTGTGTGTGGATACGTTGAAATAGATCGTGCTCATAGCTGCGTCTCAGAGAAAACTACATCTGGATAGCCATTTATTTCCATTTGACGAGGGTATATATTTTTTCTGTCTGGTGGTGCTGTACGTTATTTGAAGAGGAAGAAATCAGCAAGTTGTGTTTAAAGGTGTTAGTGCTGTACCCATTTTTTTCCTGATCGTTGGAAGAATTACTTTGTCCTGTTTCTTATTGCTTTTTCCGATCGTTTTATGAACTTTGCTGGGGGATGGAGAACAGAAATCCTACATTATTACAACCATCACTTAATTACTCACCGGACCATCACTTAATTACTCACCGGATTCTGTGTATTCCTTGCAAATTTAGACCGTGGATGCTAACTGGGCCAACACTGTCGGGAAAAGAAGGCACACTTGAGAGATTAAAGCAGAGCAGACAGGTCTCTGACAGACAGACTCCCTGACAGCTACATTTTATTTTTATTAGCTCTGACAAACCTTATCCAGGGTAAGCCTTGCCGTAGAGTAGCAATGTGCAACATCTGCATAGCTCTGTTGAAGTATCCAAAGTGCTTCTTGTACTTTATCTTGTAATTCTTACAACCACCATGGAAAAAAGTCAGAATTACTAATATTCACCACAATGCGGATGGAAGGAGTGAAGCTGAAAGTGCCTAAGGCCATGTAGTCTGTCCATGGCAGTGAAGCTTCCTAATTCACCGCAGCTCTTTGGATATCCAAATTGCATTTCATAGAATCATAGACTTGGAAGGGACCGCGGGGGTCATCTAGTCCAACCCCCTGCAATGCAGGAATCGTTTGCCCAACGTGGGGCTTGAACCCACAACCCTGAGACTGAGAGTTTCGTGTTCTACCGACTGAGCTATTCCACCTGTCATTTATGTAATTTCAGAATGTAGCGAACTGGATGTTGTTGTTTTATTGTTTCGGCTCTCCTGACAAATTTCTTTTTAAAACCCTTGCAATTTTATTGTTTACCCTTGCATTAGAATGCGATAGGGATCCTCTTCTTCTCCAGACTTATCCACTCAGGCCTCCGTGGGCTTATGGTAAGATTGTTCTGCATCATAAATATTGAATGAATTGACAGGATGTGCGGGAAATGGAAAAAACAGAGAGCAGCCTCTTAGGGTGCTTGGAGATGCATAGAAGAGGCGACTTTTTAAAAGGATTAGAGGTTTAAGTGACTGAGTGCTGTTGTTCTTTTATGATAGCTAGGACTGGAACCTCCATGTTCCAAGGCAGTATATCATTGATTATGAGGCAGCAGGCTCAAACAGCTAGAGGTGACCTAGCTCCATCATGCCCTCTCTTGTGATCTGCTGTGTGGCCCTTGACTGAGCTCTGTCGGACACAGAGAGCTGTTCTAGACGGATCTTTTGTCTGGCTCAGCAAGGCCAGTTTGGCTTTTAACTGCAGCTGTCACGGTTTCTCTATTGGAAATTGATTGGTATTAGAGCATTGTTTTTTTCCAGCCTGTGTGTTATTTGTCTCAATTAGATGCAGCTTCTCAGCACAAACGGGGCGCTGTGTGGTGTGACCAACGCATGCACACAGGCGGAGGGCCACACGGATTTAAAGGCGGCCTAGGCAATAGATTGTTTGCGGTTTTATTTTAAGAAATGGCATCAGTGCGACGGCGTCACGGGGGACCATTGGCGTTTTGAGTAAGAAACCAGGTGCAAAATCACCAGCCGAGAAAAACACTTGCATGCACTCCGATGCCTCAAGGGTGAGAGAAACAAGTGCGCGGTGATGGCAGCAGGGGCGGCAGCTAGCAGAAGCAAGCAGGCAAGGGATATTGGTCCTTGCAAAGCAGAGAAAGATTTTAATGTGAAGTTGGAGCAAGCGGTAAAGATTTTCCTGGGCTGTACCACTTCATGTTCCTGTTGGTAATGATGGTGGCTTGTGTGTGTGTCAGGGGGAAATCCTCTCTGGGCTTGCACTTAAAAACAAACAGCCTCAGCACAGTCGCAGGGAGAAAGCTGGGCTGAACCCTTCTCTCTTACACATGAGTTTTCTGCATGCAAGTTTTTGTTCAGTGGAGAATTCAAAGATAAAACTCATCACCTGATGCCTGAACTGTGTCCAGATAAAGCTTCATGGCTTGGTTCAAATGCACATGTAAATAGAGACAATGCACATATTTTTGTAAACTAAGAAATATTGAATAAAGATGTTTTTTGTTACTGTTTTTAAATGTATATGTGAATGACGTAAATTAACTGAACAGTCACGGTGGCACAAAGGGGTTTGGTTTGCCTGGGGTGCATCAGTGGCTACTGGAGTTATCAACTTGGTGACCATGCAAACCTGCTGTCTTGCTGGGCAGGTTATAAACAGTACCTTCATGACATGACAGGAGCTTGAGTTGTGCATGTATTGCTATGATGTTTTATCCTGCATTTTATCCTTGTAGCTGCTTAATGCTGTTCTGAACCTTAAACATGACACTTAAACTTCGGCAGAGTAATTCAGTCATCTACACACAGTTAAAATGACTTTGTGAATTTTGTTTTTATTGTATTAAAATTTGCAATCTTTGTGTACACCATCCTGGAATCCATGTTTGGGACGAAGGCACGATTTAGAAACTTTCAAAGCAAAACGTTTGATAAGTAACAAAAAAGATGCACATTTGAAAAAGCAACAGCACCTCAAAGATGCTATGTCAGTGATCTGTATGACAACCCTGCAAGGTAGATAATAAAATCATAGAATTGTAGAGTATGAAGAGACCCCAAAGGTTCTCTAGTCCAACTCCCTGCAATGCAGGAATTTCAACTATTAACTTGTTCTATCTTCTCACAGCTACCTCCTGCCCAAATCACTGCTTGCTGGCTCCCCCAATTTTGCTTATCAACATCACCCACTCACCATCAAGGTGAGGCAAGGTAGCAGCAACTGAAAGCCACCTGCCATTTTGTTTACCCATAATGCCCCAACATATTACCAACATGGCATTGTGGGAAAATTCAAAATGAAAGATGGTATACTAGACGTGGATTCATCTTCTGCCACCAAATGATCCCATGGATGGGGGAATGTTTGAGTGGGAGGCCCAAGGCAGGTGTCAAATCCTGTGACCTCGCCAATGCCCTTGAGCCCCAGGAACTGTCAAAGGGTGACACCTGATAGACGCCAGCTGATGTCAGAAGCAAGATTGAAAGCTTCCTAGTCTGCAGCTCCTTTTCTGGGCTTGCAATCCTAGCCATGCCTACCCCGAATTCAAGTCCTGCCGAATTCCATGGGGCTTACTCCCAGGTAGCTGGGATTAGGGTTTGCAGCCTTAGTAACTGTGGTGAGCATGGCTTACTCAAATAGATGTCATTTATGGTTTTGGAGCGTTGATAGCTGGATGGCGACAGCTATTCATGTGGCATTTTCTCATTGAAAGAAAAAAAGGAATGAGTATTATATTAAGGGGAAGGAGGTCATGGTTGTGGTTTAAATGTTTTCCAGCAACATCCCAGCCATTCACCATGTAAATCCATGCCACTGAAGCTGAATTTTCACGGATGTGCGGGTCGTTGTACCCTGATTTCCGGGATCAGTAGACAAGGGGATTGTTGGCCATTTTCTTCTGGGAACCAGTTGAGAAAGTCACTTCCCCCCTGCTGATGTGTTTGGAAAATGTCTCAGTGAGGTTATGGAAAATCCAGCAGAAGTCCCATGAGTGACCCCACATGCGCACAGTGTCACACATTCTCTCTCTCTCACACACACAAATCAGAATTTGAGACGCATGCATTCACTGAACACTTTCCCTTATCTTGGGACTAGTCTTTGTAGTTTCTAAGGAGGAAGTCTGGTGATAGTTCCTGTAACATTTAGATTTTGCACTCTGATTGTGTTTAGAGGTGGGGGTTTTTTGCTTTTTTAATGACAGGGCAAGAACTTGCCCTGTGTATGAAAACATTTAGAATCAGGGAAACCATGAAGACTGAGAGGAATGAAATCTTACAGGCTTCATTCAGCTTTCCCATACGCCCACTCTGTTCCTGTTTAATGATAGCCACCTTGAGAGCTCTCCTTGTAGAAAGGGGAAATGACAACAACAACAATTTCTCCACCTTGGCCTACTCTGACTGGCAGCATTTCCTACTCTGGCTGGCAGCACCTCTCTGGAGTCAAAGGAGATGCCAGGGAGTGAAAGGAGGACCTTCTGCATGGCAAAGCATGTGCCCTATCACTGACCTATGGTCCATTGATGCATCTACAGTACTTGCTTCCAGATAAGCATAAGCAGGATCGCAGCCTTCAACTTAAAAAAATAATTAAAAATCTTGAAGTGCCCATATCTCTTACCTAATATTGCCATGGTGAGCTTGGAGCATGGATACAAACTGCAGCAATCCTACCAGTTGTAACTTGCAAGCTACAGTGTATTTGTCTAACGCAGTATGATCTTACAATGTCTCCTATAAAGTTTGCTATAAAATGGACACAAATCAAACTCGCCCAAGAAGGTTCCTGGTGGCTCAGTGCCCAAACTACATTTCCCAGTGCTTCCCCCCCCCCCCGGAGAAATTTCTGCGGAAGGAGGCCCCGGTGGTCAGATCTCCCATCTCGCTTTTCCTGGAAAACATCCAGTGGAAATGTGTACTTGGTTCTGGAGAGCTAAAGAAGCAAAGCACGTTCACAGCTAGAGGGACACATTGTGGGAATCTTGTGGGGGGCTGGACTATATTTTTTGGGGGGAAATGAACGAATTCCTATGCCCCACAAATAACCCAGAGATGCATTTTAAATAAAAGGACACATTCTACTCATGTAAAAACACTCTGATTCCTGCACCATCCGCGGGCCGGATTTAGAAGGCGATGGGTCCGGATCCGGCCCCCGGGTCTTAGTTTGCTTACCCATGGTCTAGAGACCAGAGTTTATCAAGCTTGGGTCTCCAGCTATTTTTGGAGAGAGCTGGTGGGGGTCTCTCATATTTCAGCAGAAAAGGCATTCCACAACACTGGCGCCCCTAGTGAAAAAGTCCACCTTCCAACTGTACCATTCTACGATCCTATGGCTGCCAGTTAGCAGCAGTTAGAGTGGCCATTAGATCCTGTCTCAACCCTGGTGGCAGGGCAGTGCCAGCACCCGAGAAGAGCAGGCTGAGCTTGCCTGTACTACCTGGTCTGGCCTGCGCTCCCTAGACAGCATCTGCACACTCATCCCCTGTCTCCTGAGGCAGCTGCCTCATTCTGCTCAACGGTAGGGCTGGCCCTGGAGGGAACCAACGACTGATGGGGGATGAAGGGACCCTCAGCCTCGTTTCCACCTGGCACTGCCAATAACAAATTGGAAATGACTGCTTCGATCAGGGAGTGTTGGGAGACACAGGGGTGCTTTCATGTATCCAAACTTCTGATTATCGGACTCTTTGGGAGAGTTTTGAGGACACTTGTATTATGGATACTGTGCGGTTTTGTGTGTGCCTGCATGACTTTTGTGATGTGGTGGCCCCCAAGATATAATCACCTCCAAGAGGAGGCTTCTCAGAGGATATATTTGTTGGTCTTCTGGTGCAGAAAAGAAGAAGAAGAAGAAGAGTTTGGACTTGATATCCTGCCTTTCACTCCCCTTCAGGAGTCTCAAAGCGGCTAACATTCTCCTTTCCCTTCCTCCCCCACAACAAACACTCTGTGAGGTGAGTGGGGCTGAGAGACTTCAAAGAAGTGTGACTGGCCCAAGGTCACCCAGTAGCTGCATGTGGAGGAGCGGAGACGCGACCCGGTTCCCCAGATTAAGAGACTACCGCTCTTAACCACTACACCACACTGGCTCTTGCAGTGCCAGCATTTGCAGGCTGGTGACTGGGCGAATTGTGCTGTCTTAGGAGATTTGGTTTGGTCACACTGCGTATTCTGAAACTCTGGAGAAGAGCCACCGCAAGTCAGTCTAGACCAGACTTCCCTGGAGTCAGGGATGATGGGAGTTGTAGTCCAAAAACAGCTGGAGACCCAAGTTTGGGAAAGCCTGCTCTAGACTATGTTAGATGGACCATTGGATTGACTCCCTATAAGGAAACTTCTTCCTCTTTTCCTATGTTTATTGGGGGCTCTTGGATGCTTTCTTGAGAGCCTCCAGGTCAGGCATAGGCAAACGTGGCCCTCCAGATGTTTTGGGACTACAACTCCCATCATCCCTAGCTAACAGGACCAGTGGTCAGGGATGATGGGAATTGTAGTCCCAAAACACCTGGAGGGCGAGTTTGCCTGTGCCTGGTCCAGGTAACTCGGGGAGTCAGGATGCAAAACCTTTAAATAAGAAAAGAAAGGTGTAGATGGTTCTGTAGTTGTGTGGCTTATTTTTTTCCGCTTGCTAATGAAAAGTGGGAGTGAAAGAGAGGGATTCATATATATAGGGTTTTAATAACGAGAAGGGGAAATATTTCAGTTGCCACCTTGTACGGTCAATAGTTGTGGTTCTCTTCCCAAGGGCAAATTAAGGTTGGAGAGTTCTTCGAGACACGCTCTCTAATCCACACAAACTTTCTTTGCTGAGACATGGCATGTTAGGACCTGTGAAAATTAACATAGGTACGTAAAGGAGAGCCTTGTGAGGGCAGACCAAACACCCATCTACTACAGAGTGTCCAACCAGATGCCTTTTGGAAAACCTGCAAGCAGGGCATGAGGGCAATAGCCTCCTCTTGTTTTTGTCCGACAGCCACTTAGCATTCAGAGGCAGGCTGCACCTGAGGGTGCTTCCAGGTGGGTTTTTGTCACGGAACGGGTGGTCTTCAGGCGTGCCCTTCTTTTGGCAGCCACCTCACAATGTTGTGGGCATCAGAAGGCCAGGTCATATACCCCCCTGTTTAAACCAGATTTTTCTCCTTCTGCAGACCATCTTTTTTTTAAAAAACAAACTGTTGCCAACAGCCCATTTGCAGTATCTCTGTGAGCAATATGTAATGTTAAGCCCTCAAATGGAAGCACCATGATTCAAGAGGCAGCATTAAACCATTCTGGTTACTAGCCATTATTAATAGTCTTAAAGGTAAAGGTAAAGGTACCCCTGCCCGTACGGGCCAGTCGTGTCCGACTCTAGGGTTGTGCGCCCATCTCACTTAAGAGGCCGGGGGCCAGCGCTGTCCGGAGACACTTCCGGGTCACGTGGCCAGCGTGACGAAGCTGCTCTGATGAGCCGGCACCAGCGCAGCACACGGAAACGCCGTTTACCTTCCCGCTATAAAGCGGTACCTATTTATCTACTTGCACTTAGGGGTGCTTTCGAACTGCTAGGTGGGCAGGAATTAATAGTCTTAGCCTCGATTAAATTGTCTATTAAAAAAAAAGCAAAGAAAACCAGGAACTCTTAGATTGAGGGAGTTTTTTTTGCAATGGAGGAGTATTCTGTAATGGGCCCAGTCAGATGGGCGGGGTACAAATATTATTACAGTGGTACCTCGGGTTAAGTACTTAATTTGTTCTGAAGGTCCGTTCTTAACCTGAAACTGTTCTTAACCTGAAGCACCGCTTTAGCTAATGGGGCCTCCCGCTGCTGCCGTGCCGCTGGAGCACGATTTCTGTTCTCATCCTGAAGCAAAGTTCTTAACCTGAGGTACTATTTCTGGGTTACCTGAAGTGTATGTAGCCCGAGATACCACTATACAGTCATACCTTGGAAGTCGAACGGAATCCATTCCGGAAGACTGTTTGACTTCCAAAATGTTCAGAAACCAAAGCACGGCTTCTGATTGGCTGCTGGAAGCTCCTGCAGCCAATCGGAAGCCCTGTCGGATGTTCGGCTTCCAAAAATAGTTTGCAAACTGGAACAGCCACTTCTGGGTTTGCGGAATTCGAGAGCCAAAATGTTCGAGAACTAAGCTGTTCGAAAACCACGGTACAACCGTATTATTATTATTATTATTATTATTATTATTATTATTATTTTTTTATTATTATTATTATTATTATTATAATGTAAACCTCAATTTACAGTACGAAGAGGCACAGCCCAGACACAGTTTTGCCACCTCAATGAGAGCTAAACATCTTCTGTCCACACAGCTGTGGAGCATGTCTAGCAATCACCTGTGTGCCTTTTCAGGAACATCTGGATTTTAAAAATCCGCACACTTGGTTTCCTAAACAATGGGAGTGGTGTTGGGGTCACTCCAATGACATAATTTCTTCCAGATGTTCAGAGGAGAACGGAGTTTGTTAAAGATAAAACCGCACAGCAAAGATTACAAACAGAAACACAGCTGAAACGGCACAGCTTAAGGACAGGGGTGGGAAACACCTTTCAGCCTGGGGGCCATATTCTCTTCTTGGCAACCTTTTGGGGGGCCGGAGGAAATGTGAGCAGAGCAAGGCTAGTTTCCACACGCACTTGGGCATCTCTCTCTATACTCTCCGTCCGGATAAACAAGCTGGAATACCAGAGTTCAAGGACACATTCCAGCCAGGCAAAAACTCTCAGCGTACAAAGCCAGGACCAGCGAGGGGTGTGGCCTATGGAGAGTTCAGAGGGCCACATAGAGAGGCCTTGAGGGCCACATCCGGACCCTGCTTCAGAACTTAGAATTATAGAATTGTAGAAGGGACCTCAAGGGCCCTCTACTCCAACCCCCTGCAATGCTGGCCTCTTTTGCCCAGTGGGGGGCTTGAGCCCATGACGCTGAGATTAAGATTCTGATTCTCTAGCGACTGAGCTATCCCAAGGAACACGTGTAATACTAAGGAAGTAGCTGGGCTGGTTGTTAAGCAGGAAGGCTGGCAAGTGGTAGACTTCTGGCCTGGCTGAGGTCTTATCTGCTGCCACCCTCTTTGTGTTTTTCCCCTAGTGTACCTGCAGTCAGTTCTAGTGGAACACATTGCAGTTTAGGTAAAGGGACCCCTGACCATTAGGTCCAGTCGTGGCCGACTCTGGGGTTGCGGCGCTCATCTCGCTTTACTGGCTGAGGGAGCCGGCGTACAGCTTCCGGGTCATGTGGCCAGCATGACTAAGCCGCTTCTGGCGAACCAGAGCAGCGCACGGAAACGCCGTTTACCTTCCCACCAGAGTGGTACCTATTTATCTACTTGCACTTTGACGTGCTTTCGAACTGCTAGGTGGGCAGGAGCAGGGACCGAGCAACGGGAGCTCACCCCGTCGCAGGGATTCGAACCGCCAACCTTCTGATTGGCAAGTCCTAGGCTCTGTGGTTTAACCCACAGCGCCAGCTTTGTCCCTTACATTGCAGTTTACTTTGGCACAAAACTGGGTGGAGAGCTAAGTGTTGGTGGCTGCCAGCTTCCGTCAGCTGCAGGGAGGCTGGGATCTATTGGCCAGCACCTGGTGGGTCATAGGTTCCCCATCCTTGGATGGTAGAATTTAAACCTGGGTGTCCCCTGGGTGTTTCTGTTGGGACGCTGTGATACTGATGATTGCCGTGCATCCAAAGAACATTCACTGATTAAAGCTTCAATGGGCAGGCTTTGGTCATTATTGCCTGAAATTAAGGAGGTAGTGCTCTTAAGATTGCTGCAGTGTAAATTTAAATGCGATATTAAGAAAAAGTACAAGAAAGTGGAACAAGTTCCTTGGGGGAGCAGTGGAATCTTCTGTGGAGGTTTTAATGGGTTCACATTATACACTAGCAAACTCCGAAGAAAACCGCTAGCATATAATTATCGTGCAGAACATCCATACGAATAAGCTGCGATTTTGGATGACTAATCTTGTCTGTATGTTAAATTCCCATTTGAGTGAAAAGCCCATTCCACTAATATAATGGGGAAATTCAAGAGTCTTGTCAACCACTTGAAACTTTTAAAGAATTAAACATTTTAATAAGATGGATTCTATGCTTTAAAAAATCGATTAACTGAGGCTGAAATCTTTAAATGTAGTGGGACTTCTGAGTAAACATGCATATGATTTTGTCCCGTTTCATCCTTTCCTATAAGTCCACAAAAGTTATAAGCGTACAAATACACACACACACACACACACTTACTAGCAGAAAATGGATGGTAAACTCTGTCCCTCCTGCTGCAGCCCACATTATTTCTCTGCTGGGTAGAATGTCCCCTCCCTCCTTCTCCACTAGTCCATTCACTCAAATGCATATCCTTCCATGTGCTCAACTGCATTCAACCCATTCTTCCTTGTAGTTACCAGGTTTGTGCTTATGTACAAGGCTATATCGGTGGCTACCAGCCACAGTGGCTATGTTCTCCCTCTACTGTCAGAAGCAGTGTGCAGATTGCAAGTGAGGAGTGCTGTTGCCCTCAAAAGTTCTGCTTCCTGCTTCCCCGGTTGGTTGACAATTAATTGGTTGACAATTAATCAACCAAAGTCGTCCCGTCCCCCCCCGTTTATGTGTTTATTTGCTTGTTTCTTTTTTCTAAAGAGGCCGCTTTCCTGGGCAGGTGCCTGCTCAAAGCGACTTACAAATTAAAAGCGACAAAAGATAAAAAGAAAAACTAGACAACATTTTAAGACTTAAAATGGCCACCAAACAATGTTCTGCAGAGCTCCTAAGAGCGTGGTCTAGTCAGCCCATCAACTGGTTATTAAACATAATGCCTTGAAGGCCATAAAAAGAAGTTTTTAGGGTCTCCAGAAAGGCCTGCAATGTAGAAATTTGACACAGGTCCAACGGAATGTGATTTGATAGCTGTGGGGCCACTTAGAGATGGTCTTCTCACTCGTAGTTATCCCCCTTGGGGGATATACCCTATGGGGTATACTAAGAGGGTGGAGCACAAGATGGACTCAACAGCACTTTCCATTGGGCCTGGAAACCCACCAGTAGGCACCAGTAGAATACAGATGCTGACCACGTTGTCCCCAGTAGGTCTCCAGCTGTATCTGAACTGCATTTAAGTGCAGCCCCACTTAGAGCGCATTGCACCAATCTAGTCTAGCCCGCATGTGACCAGGACACTGGTCCCTGTGGCAAAGACAGCTCCCCACCCCAGGTAGGAGTGCTGTCGGCGTAGCAGCTGAAGCTGCCAAAAGATAGTCCTTGTCACTGATGCTTCCCCAGTCAGCGCAGAATCCAGGAGAAACTCCCAAACTGCCACCCCATCGCAGAGTAGCTGCAAAAAGACCTTCGGGAGCTGTAGATCTCCCTAGACACAGCGCTTCCATCTTGTTTGGATTCAACCTCAGTTCGCTTGCCCACATCTGTCCCAGAACGGCCTCCGGGCTCTGGTTTAGGATTCCGCCAGTCTTTCTGAGATCTGAGGGTGGAAAGAAAGGCAGAGCTGAGCATCATCAGCAGACTTGAAAACCAATCTGTGCACTTAGACCAGCAAACTTACCACGCCTCGGGCCGGTGTCTCCAGTGCTGATTACACGGTTGGCCGGAGGGCGTGGGAGCGCATGTCCATACACATGCGCACACGCTATTTCCGGCGCACTTCTGAGTCGGAGGAGCACCGGAAATAGCTTGTGCACATGTGCACGGGCCTCCTCTGACCTGGATGTGCACTGGAAATAATGCTTGCGCATGCACAAATACAGTGGTACCTCTGGATGCGAACAGGATCCGTTCCGGAGCCCCATTTGCATCCTGAGTAGAACACAACCCACGTCTGCGCGTCGCGATTTGCCGCTTCTGCGCATGCGCATGACATCATTTTGAGCATCTGCGCATGCGTGAGTGGTGAAACAAGAGCGCAACCTGAAAACGCTCAACCTGAAGCATATTTAACCCGAGGTATGAGTGTAATAGGGACGCGGGTGGCACTGTGGGTTAAACCACAGAGTTTAGAACTTGCCGATCAGAAGGTCAGCGGTTCAAATCACCATGACGGGGTGAGCTCCTGCTGCTCAGTCCCAGCTCCTGCCAACCTAGCAGTTCGAAAGCACGTCAAAGTGCAAGTAGATAAATAGGTACCGCTTCGGCGGGAAGGTAAACGGCGTTTCCGTGCGCTGCTCTGGTTCGCCAGAAGCGGCTTAGTCATGCCGGCTCCCTCGGCCAATAAAGCGAGATGAGCGCTGCAACCCCAGAGCCGGTCACGACCGGACCTAATGGTCAGGGGTCCCTTTACCTTGACCTTTATGAGTGTAATGCTTGCGCATGTGCACAAGCTATTTCCTGTGCTCCTCCAACCCGGAAGTGGGCAGTCGCGCACCGATAAGAGCGGGCGGCGGGGGTCACTGTGGGTCAGATAAACGAGTCCCTCGGGTCTTATTTGGCCCGTGGGTCTTAGTTTGGGGACCCCTGACTTAGACGGTTATACGGAGTCATACCCATTGGTCCACGTAGCTCAGGATTGCCCGCACTGACTGGCAGGGGCTCTTCAGGGTTTCAGGAGGGGGGTCTCTCTCCCAGTCCTACCTGGGGTTCCCGGGGATGGACCCAGGGACCTTCTGCATGCAAAGCAGATGCTCTATCACTGAGCTATAGCCCTTCCCCAGGTGAAATCATGGGATGGGGTACCTGTGGCCTCCCAGATCTCACTGGAGCACAGTTCCTAGCATTTTCAGCTACTGTGGCCAGTGGTCAGGGATGATGGGAGTGGGTAGTTCAGTGCCATCAGGAGAGACCCAGATTCCCCACCCCGGCCCTTGTGGGAGCGAGAAACCACTCCTTGCTTTCCCCTCTCCATTTGCCGTGGGACTGAAGGCAAAAGGAGACTCACTCCTTTCTCCTCCTTGGAGTATGGAAGGCAAACTTCTCTTAGCACACAACTGAGTGTGTTATGTACTGAAGTTCTCACCCTGGGCCAGCAGGGGGATACTGTAGATAGTTTTCACTCAGGTCCACATATGCAAATAAGGGATTGGAAGTGACGTTCAGTGATTGGATAGTTACAGAAAATGGTTACTGTTGCATTCTAGTGGAGCTTTATATAAGCTGGCTGGCTGAACCCTTCAGTTCAGTTCTGTTCTGGCCTGTGAATAAACAAGAGCTGTTTGAAGAATCGCTGTGTCGTCTGATATGTTCACCCACAACTTAACGGAGTGGGCCTCTCCAGAAGGAATGGTGGGGACCTCTGGGGGTCCAGCTGGGGTCTGGGTTTACCTGGTTTTGGAACCCACATTCAGGGGTTAGGTGGTTAAGTGAAATGATGCTAACTTGTGTCTATGGCCAACCATAACCGTAGAGCATTTCTCCCAAGAGTGTTTATTTTTTCCAGCTGCGAAAGACCATTTTGCTGGCAGGCAGCCACACGTCTCGTAAGAATGCCGTGTCTCAATTAGGACGCCCCCTTCCGCAAAGACCCCACTCGCCTCCCCCCCCCCCCGCATCAAAATCAATGGCTGGCTTGCATATTTTTAAAGATACATGGCAAAGGTATTATATTACGCTGGTTCACCTCTTGCATGTGTAAAAACTACAAAGAATCCTGTGGCCCTTTAAAGACTTAACGTGTTTATTATGTCGCAAACAGCTATTTCTTCTTCTTTTTCCTCCCCCCCCCACCGGCCCTGCCAGCGCTGCCTCTGACTTCCCTTGCAATAAACAAATATCTAATTAAAGCATTTCAAGATGATCTGTAGCCGTTCTTGGCAGAAGGAATGGAGCGCAGCTAGGCATAGTGGTGTAAGGAGCAAAGATTCTAATTAAGCATTGCATTTATAGCGCCGGTGGAATGCAGCGTGAGGTTTAGCTGTTCCTGTTTGCTCTTGAAGGAACCCTTGAAAGATCATGGTTGCAATGACTTTTGAAGGCCGCTTTCAGCCTTGCTCCTTCCCCTGTAAAAAGTCGATGCATCTCTCTAGTTGCAGAGCACTTTTTGCGTGCGCTCGTGCCAGTTCGGTTAGAGCGCTGCACTAGGAACCAGGAGATCAGGGTTCGAATCCCCATGCGGGTATGGAGCAGTGCACATTGGGTGAACTTGGGCTAGTCTCTCTCAGCCTCGCAACTGCCTTACAAGGCTGTTGTGATGATTAAATGAGGTGTGTGGGGGGAAAACTGGTATGCTACTTTGAGCTTCCTTGGACGAAAGGCAGGACATGAGTGTAATAAATACGGTAAAATCAACTTTGGTTTATTTGGAAAGATGTGCAACTTGCTTAATCGCAAAGCTCTCCAAGCGGTGTACATTTAACACAATAGTAGTTGAAACACAGATAAGATGCACAAAGCTGTTTCAAATCAAGAAACATACATAAAATAATGATCACTGAAATGCAGAGGATTTTTTAAAAAAATAAAAGGCAACTAAATTATATGTCTGGGTTAGGCTCGCTAAAATAAAATAAAACATTTTGGCAGATTGTGGCAAGAGCACGGTCCATAGCTAAGGAATTCCAAAGCAAAGGTGCTGCCATGCCAAAAAGATAAGACTCCTCAGAAATGTGGAATGAATGTTCTGTGGAAATCACAAAAATATCAGTTCTACATATCGAAGCGCCTGAATCAACACATGTGGGGCAAGTTGACCCCCTCAGAAAACTGACCCATAGGGCCCTTGCTTATGAAGCTTGCAAAAATCAAGAAATGTTCGTACTCTCTCAGTCGTGGCATTTGACTTAACCAGATTTGACAGCTATGAAACTGGCAGAAAAGAGACAGGTTAGTTTATCATGCCCTCTATGTTCTCCTTCGACAACAAGCCTAAGAAAACCAGGGCTGTGTGCGCCAGGACTGTGAATGGTAAATATAATTATGGGGACTGTACTTATGGGTGCTAAGAGCCATTAGGAGACCCCCTATTTCCCCCCCAGTGCTACAATTCCCAGAGTAGTTTAATAGTCAATCCTTCCTGGAAAACTATAGCTCCATGAGGAGATCAGGAGTCTCTCGACACCCCCTTTATTATTTTTATAATTTATTGAATTTACCATATTTTTTCCTCTATAAGACTCACCTTTTCCCTCCTAAAAAGTAAGGGGAAATGTGTATGCGTCTTATGGAGCGAATGCAGGCTGCACAGCTATCCCAGAAGCCAGAACAGCAAGAGGGATTGCTGCTTTCACTGCACAGCGATCCCTCTTGCTGTTCTGGCTTCTGAGATTCAGAATATATTTTTTCTTGTTTTCCTCCTCCAGAAACTAGGTGCGTCTTGTCTGGTGCGTCTTATAGAGCGAAAAATACGGTATATACTGCCCTATACCCAGAGGCCCTATACCCTTAGCAAAGTACAGTTCCCGCAATTCCTTGCGGGGAGCGATGACTGTTAAAGTGATAACAATAGTTCTGCAAATGTTTGGTGTGGATGAGGCCTTATTCCGTTTATTCTACTTATTTCATTCTTTGGCATGAAAACCCACAGTTCTGGCCATGCTAGCTTTGACTGCCAAAGACATGTTGGAAGCAAATCGCTTCTGGTGGTTCCATGGCAACCTGCTCTCCTTTTCTTACAAGTGAATTGCCATCACCTTCACAGTGCGCTGTAACCAAGCCACAATATTTCACTGCTGTTACTCTGTGCACACATTCTGTGGAGCAAATCATTTGTTGACTGCAGTGGAAGCTGGGCTGATTTAGAGCAGCCTGAAAAACCAGCCCACCATTTTCTCCCCGGAGCTCTTAAGGATTCCCCCTTCCCCCTTTATTTCTTCTCCCTTTATTTTGTATTTCTTTTCCCCTTCGTGGAGGAAGCTTGTTTAATTGCTCTCTTTGTGACCTGGGCTCTCGGGAGGAGCTGGTTCCAAATGTTTTTCTCATTTGCAGCCAGAGATTTGTACAACGTGACCTCATGCTAGGAAAGGGTGGATCGCCTTATAATGTGGGAAACTCAGAGGACGGCTGCGTCTCGGAAATCTGCGCGACCAAATCCCAAGCAAAGCTGTGCATTAAATGCTGGAATGTGTTGGCGTCCGTCCAGGAGGTTGAGACGAGCCTGTTCCACAAACGCTAGCTAATGCAGCCGTGCTATACCTTAAAATAGTATCAGGCCTGGTTGACAAGAGAGCTGGAGAGTGTTGTCGCTTACCTCATTCTAGCACAAATTCTTTCTAGACAATGCATTAAATGGCTGGAGGCTCCTTCTCCCCGCCCCTTTCTCTCCCCTCCTTGGTTTGCAGGTGGCATTTGCTCAAGTGATGTAAAATCACTGCATTCAGCCTCTCGTCTGCCATTTGTGGATGACTAAAAGGTAAAGGTAAAGGTACCCCTGACCATTAGGTCCAGTCGTGACCAACTCTGGGGTTGCGGCGCTCATCTCGCTTTATTGGCTGAGGGAGCCGGCGTACAGCTTCCGGGTCATGTGGCCAGCATGACTAAGCCGCTTCTGGCGAACCAGAGCAGCGCACGGAAACGTCGTTTACCTTCCTGCCGGAGCGGTCCCTATTTATCTACTTGCACTGGTGTGCTTTCGAACTGCTAGGTTGGCAGGAGCGGGGACCGAGCAACAGGAGCTCACCCCGTCGCGGGGATTCGAACTGCCGACCTTCTGATTGGCAAGTCCTAGGCTCTGTGGTTTAACCCACAGCGCCACCCGCGTCCTTTTTGTGGATGACTGCTCCTTGCTAAATATGACTCTTTGTTTGAGGCTGAAAAAAAAGGAATTATACATTTGCTTCTTAAGGCTTGGCGACTTAAGAGCATCACAACATAAGAACAGTCCCATTGGATCAGGCCAGTGGCCCATCTAGTCCAGTATTCTGTTTCACTACGGCCAGCCAGATGCATTATGGGAAGCCTGCAAGCAGTGCATAAGCACAACACCACTCTCCCTTCCTGTGGTTCCCAGTGACTGGTGTTTAGAAACGTTTCTGCCTCCTAGTGTGGAAGTAGAGCCCAACCAGGACGGTGAGCAAGCTTCTTTTGGACACAGGAACAAATAAGCCTGGTCTTGAGCAGGAGAGTACATTTTGTGTTTTTTTTGTTTTTTTTTTTATAATTGATATTTATTAAATTTTCAAACAATAACAACAAAAATTTCCAAAAAAAATTTGAGGATACAAAAAACAAAAATAGTACATAAACAAAAAAGAAAAGAAAATCCAGCCGCAAAGAAAAAAAAAGAGAAACAGAAAAACAAAAATATAAAGTCCTTTACAATCTCTATTGACTTCCTTTCTAGACTTCCTCCTCCTCCCCTCTTTTGTTTCTTAATTTTTAATTTTTACAGCAAATCCTTTCTGTTTTTTCATAACAATCTGTCATTACGTTTCCTTATTCTATTGTCATATAAAAACTTTAAAACTCATAGCTTATATTCAATATTTACCAAATTCTTGCATCATTGACCTTTTTACGAATCATTTACCAATCCTTACTTAAGCCATGTAATTTCATTCAAACATCCTTCAAACATTTGTAAGCATTCCCAATATTAAAAATAAAAAGGAAAAAATAATAAGTCAAATTCAGTCCAGTCAGCTTCCAACCTCCCTCCCTGGACCCGGATTGTCAGTCCTTTTAACCTCGATAATCCGGCTCCTTAACCTGGTTGTCTCGTATCCGAGGCCCTCAAGTCTCTTTCTTGCCCCTTTCGCCACTCTTGTTGATGATTCCTTTCCAGTC